GTCGTGTGGACAGTCTCTCGTTTGAGGCTGGTGAGTTTCACACTGTCCTGCTGGAACTCATTGCCAAGCCACATACCAGCTTTCTAAGTCTAGCTGTTCATTTAGTGATACCCTCTGATTTTCTTTTCTTTTTTAGAAATTATTGTTATTTTATTGAATTTTATTTTTTTTTAAATTTATTTAAATTTGACCAGAGAGAGACAGAGTGAGAGAAAGAGAGAAGAGAGGGAGTGAGAAAGCAAGCCGCCAGGTCCAGGACTTGAACCACGGTCAGCCATGTGGGAGTCCAGCACCCCTAACCACCATGCCACCTGCCAGCCCCAGCCTCTCTGATTTTCATTGTCTTCATGTGTAACTAGTATCACAACAGCCTGCTTTGGTGGTGAGAGATCTGGGGTGTCAGGACTGGGCTGTCCGTGCTAGTCTATAAAGCACTGCTTCGAACAGTAAGGTGCACACCAGGGGATCTTGTTAAGATGCAGCTCTGTGTCCGGAAGCTCTGGGCTCTGGGCTGGGACCTCGGTCTGTATCTAACAACCCCCGCTCCCCCCCCCGCCACATGCCGATGCCATTGGTCCCGGGGTCGGTGCGGAGTGAGACACAGGACCACCCAGCGTGTGCTGCCAGTCCACACCAGGTGCCCACGGCCCTTCTCTCATCCTGATCCAGCACCTTCCTCCTTGTCTTCGATGTCGTCTTAGATGAGTTGAATGTATGTATTTTACTTTTCTCTCTTTAATTAATAAAGGTTCCCCAATATCAACCCCAAGTCCATCACCCTTGCCTCGAACCCCAACTTCTACTCCAGTCCACGTGAAGCAAGGCCCTGCCAGCTCTGTTGCGAGCAACCCTTACGTCATCGTGGAGAAGCCTGGGCAGGCCATCGCCCGCACCCCCGGTACAGGTGCGTGCCCGTTGGTGCTGCGCAGCCCGGAAGCTCTGCTTGTGTTGGAGACCAAGTCCTGGTGTGATTCGTAGCTGGGCGCTGGGTGTAGCCTCTCCTGTACATAAGAGGGGTCTGTGAAAGTGACCCTGATGCTGTTTTTACACAGGAGATGTCCTCTTTGTAAAAAGCAGCTGATGTTACTTCCTTTAGAAGATAGACTCTTCAGGGGTCCTGCAGGCCGTGTCACTAACTTGCCCAAATTCAGCTTGTAGTGCCGTCATAGCTTTGTGGGCCATCACATTCCTCCCGGGCAAACAGAGGAGTGGTACTGACTTTTCTGCAAATAAGCTAGTTTTGCTTCTGGGAGGGCAATTGCAATGTGCAGTTATAAAAACGAGAACTGTGCCAGGAAAACTAGGGCCTCTTCTGATGGATCTTGGTCGTCATATTCCAGACACGCAGAAGTGTTTTCCAGCGCCTTCACCCACAATGTCCTTACTCCCTTCATCAGAGCAGTGACCGAATACCGTTCTAGGCCTGGGGTTAGTGTTGCCTTTCGATGACGTGACTGACTTAGCAGTTCATAAAGGCAGTTACAGACGGGTCAGGGTATTTAACGTTGGCAGCGTTTCACAGTAAGTGTGCCCTTCTGGGGAAGCTGCCCTGACCGAGTGGTGTTCCGTTGCGTGCGTGTAGCTGGCCCACGCCGTTAGGTTGTCGAGTCTCTTCCTGTGTAAGGAATAGTTCCGAATGTATACTGTTTTCTCTGTACTTAGGCAGCCAGCTTCTTTAAAGTTGAGCATGCAGTCAACTTTGAGGGATGAGTCCTTACGTGTTCTTAAAGTAATGGTTTCAGGGTCGTGAGTTTTCAGCATTTAAAGATGTGCAGTAGTGAGAAAGAGAGGCGGACAGTGGAAAATGCTTTCACATTATATTTGGTTTTATTTTATACTCCGTTCATTGTAACATCTGCCTTGTTTACCAGGAAGTCCTACAAACAAGCTCTCCACGGCATCTCAGGTCTCCCAGGGAACAGGCTCCCCCATTCCTAAAATTCATGGAAGCAGCTTCGTGACCTCTGCTGTCAAGGTAACCCTCTGCGGCGTTGCGCTGTGCTGGTCTCTAGAGAGCAGGCTCCGCCCAGCAGTGCCCACTTCAGAGCAGGACTCTCAGCTCAGGGTCTCCATTGCCTCCCCGTCATCTTTTTTTTTTTTTTTTTTT